GGTGGCGGCGGCTCGGGCTCGGGCTCGGGCTCGGGCCGGGGGCGCTGCTTCGCTTCGGGGTTTTCTTTTTTTTTCGCATGAAGATGGCGGCTCCCATCGCCGGCAAGGCGGGGGCCGCGGGCGCGGGCAGCAAGCCGCCCTTCCCGGAGCTGGATTTCAGGTCGGGCGCCAGGATGGAGGAGCTGAACAAACTCATCCAGGAATTCAGCAAGCACGACCAGCGCGAGTACGACGACCAGCGCGCCCTGGAGATCCACACGGCCAAGGACTTCATCTTCTCCATGCTGGGTGAGGGCAGGGGCACCCGCCGCGCCCGCGCCCGCGCCCGCCGCCTTCCAGGCAGACATCTTGCACGGCGAGGGGGGAGCGCCCCGGCATGCCCTCCCTCGCCTGCATGCATGCATGCCCCCTGCCCCCATGCCCAGCGCCGGGCACCGCTCCCCTGGCCTCCCCCCGCACGCCCGCACCCCGCCCGGGCTCAGGGATGCAGAGTCCATGTTTGGGCAGGACGTGACTCACTACTTTGGGCTGCAGAGCAAAGGCCCGGAGTGAAAAGTTGCAGGGGTGTCTGGAGAGCTTGGCTTTTCATGCAAAAGCCCCCCCTGAAGTTGCCGGCGGTTACGCTCAGGCTCGGGGGCTTGGCGAGAGTTGCGCGGCGCGGGGTTGAGGTGGGCAGAGGGACCTTCCCGGCCTGTGCGGGAGGGGACTTGGTTTCCTTGCCTTGAAGACAATAGGAATAATGGCAGAAACTCAGTATTGCAGCTCGCTTCCTATCCCTGCGCGCTGGCGGTGCGGGATCCGGGGGCTTTGGCTGTGTGTAGCGCTTGAGCAAATGAGCAGAGCTCGGCGGCGAGCGTGCAAGGTGTGGGGGGCGAGCCCGTTTCTCATGTCCAAATAGCATCCGAATCCACGTCCCTATGCAAAATGCTGCCTGAGATCCGCCGCTAACAAAAGCGATGCTCTCATCTCTGCCACTTCTGGCAGGTGTTGCTTGTGTTCGCCTCTGTTCAAACATTTGCAGCGGGGCCTGATTTCCACGTCCTTACACTGCAAGGGTTTTTGCCATTGGTTGCGTGGGAATTTTTGGCCAGAGGAAAGACTTCAGATCTGATGTGTGGAGGGGAATTGGGGTTGTGTGGCTCTCTGTATAATCCAGGTGGCTGTAAACCCTCCTCCCGCGGATCAGACCGAGCGCTGGAGAGGTGTTCCTAAGCTATAGGCAGGCCTCGTGCTGGGGTTAAAAATGGATCCCACGGGACTCGCACAAAGCTGCTCCCCTCTCCTGGCTGGGGGAGAGGGAACTTGGACACCTTGACAGAGGTGACTTGACAGGACAAGGAGCAATGGGCGCAGGCTGCAGCAAGAGAGGTTGAGGTTGGGTATGAGGAAAAACTCTCTCGCCAGGAGGGTGGAGAAGCACTGAGACTGCACCCCCGCTCTGGGGAGCCTGTCTCCATCCTCAGGGGTTTTGAAGACCCAGGTAGACAAAGCCTT